ATGTGTATTTACTCTGTTCCTTTTTGTGTTCATCTTACATTTTCCCCTCATTTTTTCCAATAGTAACAGACATTTTCCATTTTTAGGATGTATTATGTGACGTACCTACATTTGTAAATTTTCCAAGAGTATGTACTGTGAGGCCATGTACTTCCTCCATATGTTTTTTTGGCATGTATCTCGTTCCACAATTTTTGTGCTGTTTTAACAGTTTATAGTAAAAAGTTCAGCTCCTTCAGGACATTTCGGCTATGACTTTTGGTATTTCAGCTATGTATTCATTTTTAGCTGTGTCACTTTTTTGGACACATTTTTCTCATTGAAAATGAATGGATTTGTTTTCAACATCCTAAAAATCCTTCAAAATGTTTCTAAATCTTTACAGCACATTACATCTTTTGTTCTGGATTTGCTCTTTGCAACTTCCTTTTGTTAATTTTAGCACTTGTTTTGCTAATTGTAGCTTTTTTCTTTTATTTCAGCTATAATTCTTCTTTCTGCTATTTTCTACTTTTTGTGCTTTTTTGTGCTTCTAACAGTTGCTTTTTTCTATATTCAGCTATTTGCTGCATTTGTAGCTAATGTTCAGCTGATATTAGCTAAATTTAGCTTTTTAAAGCTAAATACGCATTTTTTGGAGCCAACTTATTTCTGCTAAGTTCAGCAAACTTGTGCTTTTTATGTTTCTATATTTTTGCTGTTTTTCTGCAAATGTTTGGCTTTCACAACAACTGTTCATTTTTTGTATATTTCTTTCTTTCTTTCTTTCTTTCTTTCTTTCTTTCTTTCTTTCTTTCTTTCTTTCTTTCTTTCTTTCTTTCTTTTTTGCTAATTTGAAAAATTTTCAACACACCATCTGGGTGCTAATTTCAACTCAAGGCTGCTACATTTAGCTCATTTTTTAAATTTTTTTGCTAATTTTAGTTTTCTTCTGCTCCTTTCTGCTATTCTTCTGCTAATTTGTGCTTATTTCAGTTTTTTTAAATCGAACTTGCATTAACTGTTTTGCTGTTAAACATTTTCAGCTCCAGTTCAGCAGGTTTCAGGTAATGATTTCAGCAATAGGCAGTACTAGCATTTTCACAGGACATGCAATTTCTCTAGTTTCTACTGTGTTACAGCAAATGATATAATTTTAGTGAGGGGGTTATATTGACTGGATCAAATTATTGTGAGGGTCCTAAACCGCTCTGCTTAACATAAGTGTTAAAACGTGAGATTAGCTAAAATAAAGATATTCCACCTGCCGTTCTCTCTTTTTTGTGTGTTTTTTAATACCTATTTATTTTGAGAAAGCAGATTTTAGTGCACATCTAACCTGGAAAAGATGCCAGATTTGTAGAAAGTGGAGTCCAGGTTGAGATTGCCACCACCTGCTCAGTGAAGCTGCACAGCCACTCTCCTCTCATCAATTGAACTGATACAATTAATTACTACTTTCCACCTGGGAACACACTGCTGGCATTTACATGCGTTGACCCATAATCCCTTTCCTGCACCGACGTGTTTGTGTGTGTGTGTCGGTGTGAACGAACAGCTGCTGAACGTTGGACACGGATCCAGCACGCACCTACGGTCGCACGCCGGCAAAAAGCACATTTATCCGAACCTGCCTGGTGGCGTTAGCCGACAAGACAGCTCCGTGTTTAATCTGCACGCTGATTTTGTTTGGATAATATTACAGGAAGCTTAGGCGCCACCTGCTTCTGGGTTTAAATTGCTGCTCGGGAACCGGGGGCCAGGTGGGCGCGGGGGTGTCGGGCTTCGTGGAGGGGGTCCGCAGCCTTTTCTAATTATGATATACATCGTTATAATTGAGGGATACACAGATCGGGTGTAATTGTTCAAACCTTTCTTTTTTATTTTGCCGTGTCGCTGCAGTGGGGAGCGTAGCACAGTAACACTGAGGCCTCACTAATTTATATCCTTTTTAATTACTGTTTAACCCCTTCATCCCCAAAGACTTCTCTTGATTTTTTCCCCAAAATACCATGAGTGTATCTCAACAGTTACAAACTTTAAATGGTCTTGGTACTAAAATAAAGCTAAGACTTTGGAGATTTCATCAGAAGTGTAAATATTGAAGCAGCTGCTGTTAGACATAGTGAGGATAGACCAGAAATAGTTTCCCCTCCTGCCTGAAGATTTCTTGCGTTAGACAATACATAACCAAATTAAAGCCATAATTAATCAGGCTAAAAACTATTGGAAGCAACAAATCCACATGTGGACGTTACCTGGGCAAAGATCCATGCTGCTAAAGTAAACTACAGCAAAGTTACAGAGGTCTCAGTTTAAAAAAATCATTTAGTGTTTTGTCATTCTGCAAAGGATGAACCATGTCAGTTCCATCAATAAATGCTAAGAAATCTTTCTGTTTGCAAAAGTTATTTATTTTTTTGTACCTGCCTGAAAAGACTTATTTTTAAATGTCTTTTTTAATAATCCAAACTTTTATTTGTTACCATATGTTTTATATAAAATGATGAGAAATTATATTTGACTTGATCTGGATCATATTCACTCAAAATCAAGTAAAAAAATATTTTAACACACTTAACAACATATTGTGGTTTTTGCTTTGTCTTGCTTTAAAAAAGTCAAATATTTTTTACAGAATTGCTTTGATGTATTTACAGATTTATATTAATGCCGTTTTGTACAATTTGTTTACTTTTTGATTCATCTGGTTGAATTTGAAGTGTGTTTGAGCTTTTAGCCAAGATCTTGATTTTTCTGTTGATACCAAACATGTCCAGTTTCAACTGACAGCTCTGAAGTTAACAAAATATAACAAATAGAAAACAGGAAAAGCAGTCCTGACCTGAGTACCAGGGGTGGAATCATTAACAGGGACATATCATTCTTTTTTTTTTAGACATTAAATACATTTTGTGTCCAAATTCAGGGGCTAGGTCCTTCAAAGGACCTGGCCTACCTGGTCTAGGTTGGCCAGGTCTTTGATCGACCACAAAGACCGAAAAAAAGTGAGTGTAAATTTGGATGGTTTAGCCTTCTGCTTTGTTCCCGCCCTTACCCCTGTGTGTGTCCACTCGCTTAGAATAGGATAGAATATAATAGAATAGAATAGAATAGAATAGAATAGAATAAACCTTTATTGTCATTGTACAGAGCACAATGAAATTACAGTTCAGAACAGCCATTCAGAAGAAGACAAAAACATAAACAAACATAAGAGAACAGGTGCCCCCCAGGTCGTGCAGCACTAGACCCCAGCACAGAGAAAGGATCACAATCATGAAGACCCCATGATAAGGTGCTACCCTTAAAAGAAAAATGAAATACCACACAAGGATAGATGAGGGGGAAAAAAACCCGAAATGTGACACACTATGGTATTTGTAGAAAAAAACTAGCAACCGTGACTACACTAAACAGAAGCAAAAAATAGATAGAAATTAACAAAATATCAACATAGTAAGATTATTAATATCATAAAACAACAAAATTAGCTTAAAGGGAATATTTGAAGAACTAAGGGACCTGCTGTAGGTTCGATGCGTTCTCACTCCCGACTCGTCAGCTTATTGATGCTTGGTCAGGTACAGTCTTCATCCAGTTTTGACGCGTTGGGTACCCTCCTTGCATCAGTCATTGAAGCCTGCGGCTTTTCAGGGTTGCGCCACTTAGGGGTCTTTGGGTTGGGGGGTCTGTGGTTAACATGAGGGATCAGGATTAATGGTTAATTTTAGGTACTGAGTTCAGGGATAGGCTGTATATGGCTAATAGAAAAAATTTGGGTCTGGGACAGTTAGCATTTCCTACTCTTTTCAAAAATATGACAACGTGCTCCTCCTTCGTCTCATCTCGTTAATAACCGATACGAGGGGGGTACCCGACGCATCCAAAACTGAACGTAGACGGTACCCGACCAAGCGTCGGTATGTGAAGAGTTGGGAGCGAAAATGGGTTGATAGGTATTTTCTCTATTCCAGCTCGTTTGATTTTTGACAGGCCTAATATTAAAAACATATCTCTACAAATGACAAAAGCCTTAACAACACAACCACTTGAAACTTTTTTATTCTCGCTTCATCTGCCATTATCAGCAGTTCTGAACATGAACAATGAAACAAATATTTTTACGTAAAATTTTTTGTGTGGTTCAGAGCCACAGGTGTCAACAGCAGTCACCTGGTGGAGCAACAGTTCTGACTGAACCCCTGTGAGCTGCATTCAGGAGCCCTTCATAAAAGTTGTGCCCCGTTGAGCCCTTTAATGAACGTTCTGACATTGAAACTCCCAGGAGGGGTAGCTTCTCGCCTACACGTGAGCTCAATCACGTTTTTAGAAAAAAGTCAGATTTGAGCTGACATTTTTTGTGTGTTTTTTTTTTAATTGCTTTACTTTGGAGTGCATGTACCTCCGCGGGCCCCATCAGAAGAAGCTAATCAAATCTTTTTGTTTGGACTCTTTATGCAACCTGGTCCAGCTTGTCCGCTACCTGTTTTCGCTTTCATCTCCACTAATGGAAATGTCAAAAAAAAAAGAGAGAGAAACACACAGCAGAAGAGCGGGACTGCCCATTCTCCTCAGATGCCAAAAAGATGTGAAGCAGAGATTGCTGCCAAGACTTGTGACACAAACACACACTCGCACACTTCAGACACACACATTCTCTGCTGTGCAGTGTTACAACTGATAAGAGCTTTTGTAGATTTTGGTAATGATGTCCCTGAATACCAAGTGAGCTCCATCTAAAGAGACCCGCAGGAATTAATAAAAATGTCCACAATTTTTTGACTGCAGCCCTTTTTTTTTTCTTTACAGGGATTACAAAAGAGAATCACTGAATGCTGCGATTTTATTATGGATTTGATGAGGTCTCTGCTTTCCTCTTATTCTTATTTCTTTCCTTTTTTTATGTATTTTAAACCCCTCACCCCCCATCCTTTATGTCAGCCGGCCCACCCACCTTTCATCCTCTCCTCTGTATCACTCCAATTAATATTTTTTTCCCTCCATTGACAGGTGGCAGAGCAGCTGGCCGGCCATGTCGACGTGTCAGAGTCTGTAATCACAGAGGAGACGTTTGATGCACTTGTGCAGGTTAGTGAAGGCGCGAGGCGAGATGACAGTGTTTGCGTGCCCTCCTGGTTGACCCTCAGAACCTGCTGGGGAAAAGAACAGGAAGGACAGCTACACCTCCAACATGTGCTAATGGTTTACCTGCTGCACCGGGTGGCCGTTTGGTTAGTGTCTGTGAGGAGAAACACTTATTATCAACCACAGCTGCAGGGTGTCTGTGTGTGTGTTAGCAAAATATCTCATGAACAAATTAGCAGGGTTTAATGAAACCCATTGAAGTTGCACAAAATAGTTCCCTAACTTCCCTCGGGGGTCTCTAAAGTTTTTTTTTTTTTAATTGAATCGAATTGAACTGCTAGAGTCTGCCCTGTTCAACATGGCCGTCACAGCTAATAAACATTATCAAACACAAAAATGACTAACTTTTAATTTTAGAGTTGTTAGCCTAGATGTCTGGTGGTAGTAGCTGAGGCTACTTCCCAACACATACTATTTGTTTACAACTGGTAAGATTTGTCAGAGTCAAACTTCTATTTACGAGCCTCTTGGACAGATTTTAATAAAACTCAGACTGTAATTATTGGATGTATGACGCAGATTTAGGGCCAGAATAAGAGAGATATATATATTTTTGAGAATACAGTCTTGAAATTACGAGATAAGTCAAAGTAATGCAAGAATAATGTATTTTAAAATAGAAATACTCTTTCAAGGTCCTGATACTGATAATAGATGTTAAAAGAGAAAGTTTTACCTTTTTTAGTAAGACTATTTTGTGTCTGGGAGTTCCTGTAATTATATGACTTTATTCTCGTATTTTTATGACTATTTTTGTACAACTTTATTCTGGTGAAATTATGACTTTATTCTCTTAGTATTTCAACTTTATTCTTGTAGTTTTATGACTTTATTCTTGTAGTATTATGGCTTTTATTATTGTAATATGACTTTATTCTTGTAGTATTATGACTTTATTCTTGTAGTATTATGACTTTATTCTTGTAGTATTATGGCTTTTTTATTGTAATATGACTTTATTCTTGTAGTATTATGACTTTATTCGTGTAGTATTATGACTTTATTCGTGTAGTATTATGACTTTATTCGTGTAGTATTATGGCTTTATTATTGTA